TTGGACTTTGTTTCATGAATGTCTTTAAAGATTTGTATTTATATTGATCTGGACAGGTATTCAAAGGTATAAGGATTTACCGTACAGAAACCAAGGAAGAAACTCAAGAATTTCTCTCAAGATTCAACGTGCAAAATAGTGAGTTCTGCAGCAAAAAAATTCATTTCAAAATTCATTGGTTCCTTAAGTATACTTAACTGGCAGGATAAAATCATGATCATTCAATGAATGATGGTATTAAAAATGTAGTAATGGTGTTTCTATGATTGAAATGCCATGGCAATTTAATTTTTTTTGTCCAATTTATTTACACACGCCTCTTGATGTAAAAAAATTCATTGGTTCCTTAGTATGCTTAATGGATGGGATAAAATCATGATCAATCACTGAATGATGGTATTAATTATGTAATTGGTTTTTCTGTGATTGAAATGCCATTTTTTGTGTCCATTTATTAACACATGCTTCTTGATGTCAAAAAATTGGAAGCAGACTCATGAGCACAATTTGTACTAATTTGGTAATTGATATTTTCAGATGTTGTTGCTATGATGGCTCACGTTAATGATAATCAAAATAACAATGATGGCAATGGTGTTAATGATAATCTTCAAGATGAAAAGATTGCTGAAAGGTAAGCATTTCTGATAATGACAGTGGTTATGCAGAGTATTACATTGTGTGATTATGCAGCATTTCCTTGTACAGCTTTGTAATGCCTTTGCATTTGATAAGAAACCCCTTTCAGTGATATCTTATGTGAATTCACAGGGTACGTACAGTCTTGAAAAGTCCTTGATTTTGGAGCTAGGTCCTTGAAAACTCCTTAAATGCAAATTTTCCTTGAAAAGTCCTTGAATTTTGGGGAAAGCTCCTTGAAAATGATATAAATTTAGTCCTTGAATCAGTCTTGGTTGTTGTGAAGTAATGTTTTAGAGATCAATTTTGCCAAGCTTTGAAGCAAATTGATAATATTTCAATGGCAATGTCTGTTGTACTATTGTGCAATACGACGGCAAAAAAATTAATAGAAAGTTGACTACAACAATGTTTTTATTGTTCTGTTTGGTAAGACACAGGACTAGTAAGTTTATTAACTGTATCTTTCTCTTTGTAATTGGTGTCCTTGAAAATTGAAAATTAATCCTTAAAAAGTCCTTGAAAAGTCCTTGAATTTTATATGTAAAAATCTGTACGAACCCTGATTCATGACTTTCCATACTCAGGTTCAGTGGCCACGAACAAAGCATTGAACCGAGGCGTCAAGGAACACTGATCACAGATCTTTTGTTTTATGCTCACTGTACCTTGATGCCTCACTTCATTGCTTTGTTTATGGTCCCTGAACCTGAGTATGGAATATCGTAAATTTAACAAATTGAAATCGCTTTTCTATGGTCTGGGCAATTTCGATTTGTTTTTTACCATAACTTTCAAAACAAAATCGTTTCTAGCGTGCACCAGCTCCGTGCGTGAGCGATTCGTCATGTCATCGGTCTGTCCTACGATCGACAACGGCTCTCAACCAATCAGCGCGCGAGAATTCTACTAGTTATAGTAAAAAACTTATTATCCTGGTAGTGAATAAAAGATATATTCTTGTCTTGAATCATGCTTTCTTGCACAACTAC